AATGCAGACCTGTCAGCTCTGGAGCTGAAAGGAGGTTTCATTACATCTTGTATCTCGCACAACATTCTCTAGGTTGAGACAAGAAACTAAAGAATCAAGACCCTTTCTGGAACTTGTTACACATGTGCAATGAGATTTGCCTTTAAACACAAGATAATTGGTTCAATTACACCTGCAATTGCCAATTTGACTTCCAAGAAATACTGGCTTTGAGATCAAGTGTGTTGTAAGTATTTTCTACTGTCCTTTACTTCACAATTTTCCTCCTTCTGCAGTTCCAAAAAATCTCGTGATGGACATGATTTGAAATATGTCATCATTACCAGGATAGTTATCTCCCACTCAGAATCGGAAACACTATTTTTTTAATCTCATTTTTTTAACTGTCAGTATAGATTAAATTGGGTATGCACTTAAGGAAGTCAGTGTTTCACTACAAAGCATGTGTGTGCTTGCAGTTCGAAGGCAGCTCAGTTACTCTGAATGGGGCCTCAGGGACTTTTAAAATGAAACACAGATTTCAGTTTTCAGAAGATGCTTCTTTTATTTTTTCCCTGGACTTGCATAATGAATCAACATGCTTCCAGCCTTGGCTGTGACATGTCCTAAGGCAGATGCTTTTAAACTGGATTCTTTTAAATCTGCATGTATTCTAGTAATTTGACACTGGTTTCTTCCTGATACAAGAATCCTGAAAATGAAAGCTTCTATCCACATAATCAAAATCATTTTTCTATGTAGAGTTAAGGGGCTTTTCTTGTACTTCTAGAGAGTCACTGCTAGAAATGAAGGTGCAATATTAATGGCTCACGGTATGAATTTCCCTCTCCCTACTTCCCACTTCACCTTTTCAACCTACAATGCAATTCTAATCTGCTTTCAGTAGGAAGGCAGATGATCTGTCAAAAGACACACCAAAACATTTAAACACTACTAAACACACACACATAGACCAACGATTTTGTTCAGGTAGGTTAGACAAATTTTGTTTTAACAAAGAGATTATTTTATCCTTACTTGTTTTCAAATAAAGATGTGATAACAGTTTAGAAGACCAAGGATTACCAGGGGTATAGTTAAGACTCTTCAGCTAAAGCCTCTCTTTTATATTGCCTGAGTAGTAGATACCAGGTGTAAGAACACTGTGCAAAGTAGGGCAGGCACTTACTCCTTCACTTTAAAACAGGGCAACGTGGTACAGTGAATACTTATATAGAACTCACAGAAGTAAGTACTCTATTGAAATAGCATCTGCTGCACTAAAATTCAAGTTACCTCTAGGACACTTCACAACCATTATCTTCAGTAGATCAAGAATATGAAAATAGAGAGCCTGAAGTTTTGAAAAAATGCTCTAATAATAAACTTTACTTTCCACTGCCACTTTTGATACTTCTTTATGGATTGACTTGTACAGATACCTGATTTTCTCAAGCCCTTCTTAAGTTTGCAACATCCCTATACAATTTTGCATCCTGATGCAACCCTCCAACAGGCTTGGGAAAAAACACAAAGTTAAGAAAATGGCTGGACTGTTCCCCAGAAAATAATCTTAGACTTTCCAGAAAAAGCAGAAATGGCCCTCCAGAGAGAAAATACTGTTTCTGAAGTGGTAATAGCAGGGATAAAGCAGCCCAAATATTCTTCACTGGAAGAAATGAAAAGACAAAAACATTTTTACCTTAGTACAAGCAGTAGTAACTACCTTCTCTGTTCGGCTACTTACACAGCAATTACAATTGCTGATGAGGGAAAAAACAGTGGTACAGTTGCTGATTTTACAAAGCACTTTTTGTTAGAAATTTAGCTAATCCATGGATTAATGCACAAACCACAATAAAGGCAGAATCAAAATTCTTGGAGCTCTACCAAGGTTAGATTAAGTGACCATATCATTCTCTACATCTGACAAAAAACATGAACTTTGGTGGTAAAATCAAAATCCTGTCAGAGGAAGCCAGAGCAAATACCACTGTAGGAAGTTTCCTTCCTCACAGTTCCATTTCCATCTTAGTCACATCCTTACATAGACAAGAAGGACCTACAGAGCTTTCTACCTCCAAAAGTTTTTGCATTTTGCCTACTCATTTCCTAAGATAAGCATAACCGAAGTTCAATGAGGATTTGCTTTTATTTCCAGGTATTTCTAGAAGTTTAGCAGAGACTGAGTTATCTTCCACAAAAGTATTAACTTTATTTCCAATGCTTTCTGAGATGAAGAACTCATTCAAGGTATTAAGGCTTTTAGGCTGTCCCTTCAGCAGCTGAATGCTTTTTGTAAGGGAGAACATGAAACCAAAAGATTCCAAGTGTCAGCTGCAAAGGGTGTAATAGACTTATTCCTTAGGAAAAATAATGCAGCCTTTTCATAATCTTGTGCAAGTTTTCTGCAGAAAGAGAAATAATTCCACCTCTTGGGTGAAGAGGGTCAACCACTTCATGCTAATTCTGATCATAAGAATGAATAACCCAGAGTCACCAGTTTTAAGACCAGCAAGCATCAAACTGCCTTCCAAGGTAAAGGATAGAGGGGAAACAGGCACTCCTTGGCCACTTTTGCCACTCTATTGTGGGGCTTGGTTCACTTTCTGTGTAAACATGCACTGTTCCTGCCTGGTTACTAATGAGTGAGACAAATATTTCTAGCATCTAATATTTCTGCCATTTATTTCTATTCCTCAAGGAATAGATGTCTTCAGCTGGACTTTCATGCATCCTCTGCAATCTCTAAAAATACTCTGTAACCAGTGAGCGAGAAGAGAATTGAAAAAACTGACTTCAGAAGAATTCAATTTTATTTATGTGAGACTTATTGAACTGCCTTTGATGGAAACACTTGTATTTATCAGATAAAGCCTGGTTTCAAGGCCAGGGCGGATGGGGCCCTGGGCAATCTGATCTAGTGAGTGGCATCCTCAGCCATGGCAGGGGGGTTGGAACTAGATGATCTCTAAGGTCTCTTCCAACCCAAGCCTTCATGATTCTGTGATTCACTACAATCTGGTTTTTTAACACTTCTGAAAGAGAGAGGGAATGAGGCAACGTTTTTTGCATTGGGTTTGGGTGGCAAGGTTTGGGGTGGGCGCAGTACTACAGAGGTAGCTTCTTTGAGTAGCTGCCAGAAACTTCTCCTGTGTCTGACAGAGCCAAAGCCAGCTGGCTCCAAAATGGGCCTGCAACTGGCCAAGGCCAAAGTCATCACCAATGGTTAGTAACATCTCTGTGGTAACATATTTAAGAAGGGGGAAAAAATTATTGGGCCAAAGTAATTGCAGTCAGAGAAAAGTGAGAATATGTGAGAGAAACAACTATGCAGGCACCAAGGTCAGGGAGGAAGGTGGGGGAGGAAGGTGGGGGAGGAGGTGCTCCAGGCACTGGAGCTGAAATTCCCCTGCAGTCCATGACGAAGATCATGATGAGGTAGACTGTTCCCCTGTAGCCCATGGAGAACTCCACACCCGAGCAGGTGGATGCCTGAAGAAGGCTGTGACCCCATGGTAAGCCCACACTGGAGCAGGCTCCTGGCTGGACCTGTGGACCCGTGGAATGAGGAGCCCACACTGGAGCAGGTTTGCTGGTGAGGCTTGTGACCCTACGGGGGACCCATGCTGGAGCAGCCAGTTCCTGAAAGACTGCCTCCTGTGGAAAGGGACCCACACTGGAGCATTTCATGAAGAACTGCAGCCTGTGGGATGGACTCACACTGGAGAAGTTTGTGGAGGCCTGTCTCCCACGAGAGGGACACGATGCTAGAGTAGGTGAAGAACTCCTCACCCTGAGGAGGAAGCAGTGGCAGAAACAACCTGTGATGAACTGACCTGCACTCCACAGGGGAGGAGGTAGAGAATCAGGAATAAAGTTAAGTCCAGGAAGGAGTGAGGGGTGGGGAGAAGGTGTTTTTAATTTTTGTTTTACTTCTCATTATCCTACTCTGATTTTGATTGGTAATAAATTCTATCAATTTCCCAAGTTGAGTCTGGTTTTGCCTCTGACAGTAACCAGTGAGTGATCTCTCCCTGTCCTTCTTTCAACTCATGAAACTTTCCTTGTATTTTATCTCCCCTCTCCAGCTGAGAAGGGAGGTGATAGAGCAGCTTAGGGGGACACCTGACACCCAGCCAAGCCAAACCAATATCCTTGAAAGCCAAGTAAAAAATTCCCCTACGACAGCTGTTCTTGAACAAAAGTCCACATTCAGGGAAAACAAAATGTATTGAGCTGTTTCTTCTTCATCTAGCCAAAGACAAAATTTTCCCTGGGGAAAAGATGTTCCATCTCTCATTTATTCCAGCTAGAGGCAAGTCCTGAGAATTCTTACTGATGGCTGATACTCAGTCCAGACTCAGAACAAAGATCTGATCTTTTGGAGGTCTTTTAGAGACTGACATAAGGGAGTGAGACATTTGCTTTGTGTGCTATCACTTAACAAGAAAGGATTACAAAATTTGGTATAATCAGAAAGGACAAATCCCAGTGCAACATGTTAGGTAGCCTCCATTATTGTTCAGTTTAATAAACAGCAATTTTAGATTTGGCTAAGCATGCCTCCCTGTATCAGAAATTATAAGAAAATATAAACAGGAATGAAGTATTTTACAATGTAGGGCTGTCTGCAAAGTTATTTGATTCTCAAAAGTTGTAGCTCATTCTTTTCATTACTTGAGAATTTCTGTATCTCAGCAATTGTTAAAAGCACAAAGCAAATTATTTAGGACAAAATTTTCTTGACCTTAGCTACATTTTGTCATTCTCTAACATGACCATCTTCCCCCCTTATAATCCGTAGATGATTAGAAAATTAAATAATTTAGGAGATGATTGGGCCATTGAAATATTCTAATTACACACAGAGCCCCTAATGTACTTCTTACATATAATTATATACCCGTGACTGTACATACACACAAATATGCCCTTTATACACAAAAAAGTGTACCACCTGATGTGTATTTCTTCTAGCCTGCAAGACAAAGATTACTGACCATAGCTGAAAAGGTTACCTGGATCTGTGCTCTGTTTCCAGCTGTTATATTAGATATTGTCCAGCATGCTTCCTTTTTGATAGATTCTTTTGGGCTGCTTAGCAAGTGCAGTAAACTCTGCAGGGCTGAACAATTCAGAATTACCTGAATACAAAAGAAAAAACAAAACAAAACAAACAAACCACACCTTAGAAGAAATTTAGGATAAAGAATCACAAGAACAAGAATACAATGCCTTGAAAATCTAAAAGGCATACCCCATCAGATAACCCCAAAAAGTTTTAATAAAAACCCCAAACCACCAAACATGAACAAAACAAAAAAATAGCAAGAACTAAGAAACAGATCTTAGCAGGAAAGCTAATAAGGAAAAAAACCTCAGTCACTCAGGTAAAAGATCACGCCTTTATAATGATTTCAGTGTGACCTGAACATAAGAAGAAAACAAGCCCATTATGACCAAACAAAAATAAGATGATGGTATTTTCCTGTATTTTTGTATACTTGTAAGCTCCAACTACTTCTGTTTTCCACATCAGCTGGCACTGTGGAGCAGCTGTTGCCAGTGTTGTGTCCAGTGACATTATGAATGGCAATTCTTATTCAAAAAATTACCAAAAAACTGTAAAAAAACCCGCAATTTTACAGAGCAGAAAAATTGCAGAAAAATTTCCATTTCCAAAAATCAAAATTTTAAGTGCTGAAAGTACAACAGAAAATGCCCCAGAACTTGGATGTTACAAGACAGATTATTTGATTACGTCATGTGTGATAGTGAAGGGCTTTTTGACCTTCTAAAAGTCCACAACAAGGTTCAAAGACTGAAAAATGAACTTTCTTTTTTTTAATTAAATTCCAACTTGTTACAATTAAGCTAAAAATTGGGACAGTTTACCAAGAAGCACAGTAGTTTTGCCTTGTGTGGCAAAAGCAGACAACTTAGAAAGAACAGTGTTGTAGAGAATTTTATAAGAAATACTCCAGTTGAGCTGAATCATAATCAGGATTTCTGATCATGGAATCAGTGGACTGAATTCACTTGTTCTTATGCCCCTGGCCCCATAGTCTTCAAATTTTTCGACTAAGATTAAAAAAGCAAAGGTTATGGTTCAGGATTGTATCAGGTATCTGTTGGGACAAATATACTTATTTCTTCATGCCCATTATCTCTGGTTTTAGCTATCTCCAAGCACTGGCAATTGTTAACAGTTGGAAATGAGAGAAAAGAGAAGGCAGGATTGTGCTCTAAGATTGTACAGAGAAGTTCTCAGGCAACTGGTTTGTATGTTGCATTCATATTCAGAAATGTATCAGCTCTCAAAGTTGGGCTCTTCCTTCTGACTAATGATTTTTATATGCATCCTGTATCATTTTTTAGCAGGACCTGTCCTTCGGGCAGGACCATCAAATTATCCTACTTAAACAGTTCTCTAGAATTTTAGGAAAGCTTATGGTATGCTCCTCTGAAAAAATCATGCACAACAAAAAAGCTTACAGATTTTTTTAGCTAAAATCTAAGATCTGTGCAGTATTTAATAACCCACATTACATTTTAACTAGTGATCCCTTGTGGTTTTATCCTCAATGAAATTATGAAATCACAAAACACACCTTAATCATTCTTTATGACTGATCTGTGAAACAAATGCCACCGAAAAAAATACAAGAATGCCTATGCAATTCAGCTACACAAAATACATTGTAACAATCAAAAAATCATCTTATCTTCCTCCTAGTGATAAGATATTCAAAGAGTGCCCTGGTGCTGCTAACTCATCTTTAACTCAAACCTCACTGTTACAGAACTACAGAAGCATCCCAGTGACAACCTAGTGCTTCTGAGAAGCATCAGGTTTCCTGGCTCCCAATTTAATTCCAATGAAGTGGTGGGAGTCACTGTTTCCTACTGATGTTTCTCCAAACATGTGCTCAGACACAGCTACATACCATCTAAAATCTGACCAGACACTTGTTTTTGGTATACTCATCCGAGATTGCCAACAACAGCATTCAATGTGACAGGCCTCAGATGGCCCTAGCACGGCACATCAATCAGCATAAAATTCAGCCTAAGAGGCAGACCTGCTTTAAACAAACAAAAAAAACCCACCCCACTCTTGAGGGGTATTGCACAGCTCTCTGTAAGTCCCAGACATAGCTACCTAGGAATCACCAGCAGTTCAGGACTGAACAGAAAAAATGAAAACCACCACATGTTTTGAAGCAATTAGTGTCATCAATCCTCACTTTTAAACTTCAAAAGGAACAAGAGGAGATGCTCGTGAACAGGTTACCACAACTGACAGAAAGATGAACTGCAGTACAACATAAGAGAAAGTGAATCCATACCTGGGTCTGGATGTCATCTCCTGTGACAATGTTGCCAACAGCTCGTAAGGCAGGAGATACAACTTTGTAGTCATTGTGCCTAGAAATGACAAGAAAAATTAAAGTATTAACCATCCTGAGGCATCTCCATCTTTACATTCTCAAGGAAGGAACATCCATCAGCCAGGGGAAACTTCCCTGATAAGTCTGACTTAACTCTCATTACCTGAATCAAAACATTCTGATTTTAAACTAATGGTAAGCCTTTCTAGGGTTTCTAAATATTTAGGCCTTCAGACATCATTCAGCAGCATAAAAATAAAATATTAGAAGAATACAAGTACTTCAAAGTTTAAGTATCCTTGGAAAGGAAAAATAATCACCTTTAACTATAAAATATACTTAATGTAGCACACAAAAAGGCAGAGAATAAGACAGAATAATAAAAATAGAACCTGTGTGTTTAACTCATATAGCTGTTTGATCACCTTCTGTCATCATACGCATCCCTCCATCATCATTGTTAAATCAGGTTTAGAATAGGAAGGGTGAAGAAAGGAATTTTTTTCTCAAATGAAAACACTTGTTTATAAAAAACTACTTACAGGCACTACGTTCTATTCATTAATCCAGTATCACACTCGCTTTAATCTTAAAAACCTTAACAGTCTTTTTATTTACATCAGTGAAAACCATTATTCCTTTTTCTTAGGCAACTGAATGTTCCATGTCCTGACCTTAAGCCTGAACAAGGCCAGTCTCTGTGACCCCAACTCTCACAGCTACACCTTACAGACCAAAGTGTGCATATACTCTTCTACAGTAAGGGTTTAGGAAATTATTTATATTTCGAGTTCCCGGTACTGTCAATTCTAGTAAATTTAACTATTTTTTACATTTCTATCTTTGTTATCCTTTTGCAATTTCTTTTTCGGTAAATATAACATGGTCTTCAATAGCACAGGGAAAATTCCAGTATATATTATGGATTTTACAAAAGTGTAGCTGTTAGATGCAGGGAAAAAAATCTCTTTAAGAAATAGCAAAACTAGCACAAGAAAAGTTCCATTGTTTCTGTTACTGATGACAAACAGAGAACATTGAACAGACAGGTAAAATGAAAGCTCGCATCTTGCTCTTTGGAAAATTATGACATTTCAAGACGTATTTAATTGAACTTCCTATTGTTACAACCTCGATTTTAGGGAAAAGAGTAGACAGTAAGCTTGCTCATAACAAGTTTCTTACATTAGCAGTTCCACAAGTCTTCTGCAGACTCCTGCATCAATCACAGCCTGGATTTTATCATTGGGGCCATCAGACAAATAGGACAAAGCCCAGCAGGCATCAGCTAATACATCTGTATCATTGACAAAGAGCAGCCAGGAAAGCACGCTAAGACAAGGAGAAACCTGTAAAATATTAAGAGGAGAGACATAAACTGAACAGTTAGAAGGGCCAGTAGATCTATTATTATGTCAGCTACTTCTGTATGTGTCATTACAGGCTAGGCACTGGCATATTAAGGTTCAATACTTAGAAAATTTCAGACCTAGGTAGCGCTTCTGTGCAGGGCTGTAGCTACACAAGCACAGAGGAGCATGACTGCAGAAAAGCACTATGACAATTCTTCAGCCTCTGCAGTACAATGTCTTAAGTTGTCCAGGGCAACTTAAACTCATACTTGTCTGCTAAGATGTGCCACACATTGCACTACAGCAGCCAAGATGTACGGTGTTGTTCTGCTAAGGGATGGTCATCTCCAGTACAGGAACAGCAACAAAGTCAGGAGGCAGTCATATGAAAACAGTGGTTGTGAATGTCTGCCCAAAAAATTTCATCTGTAAGAAGGCCATGATATATTTCAGAATTTCTCTGACCCATTCTTTCCCTTTCACCACCCTCACTGATTATTTGGCTATCACCACTTCACAACACATTTCCTTTCAAGCAGCTCTTACCTTGGCAAAATCGGGAGGAGGATTTTTCCCTCTGCAGAGGTTGGATAGAGCCCATACAGCATTTCGAGTCATAGTGAGACGGTTCTGTTTTGAAAGTAATCTAAAACAAACAACAAAAAATTCCAACCCTTGCCTTTTAAAAATCAAACCCAGGCAACCCTGTAGGGTCAACTAAGTGAATCATTAAAACAAACTCACTGTAACATACACCAGGGCAAAATACAGTAAGATTTTTTTCTATAAAATTACATTCTGAGGAAAATCATCCTTGATAGCTGGATACTAACACATATGGTAGATATAGGAACCTAGTATCCCAATAAGTAAAATAACCATTACACTAAAAGTGTGTTTACTTAATTGCTTAGATACCAATGTGGCAGACTGACAGTCAAAAAGTGCAAGAATTGTGACAAAATTACTCAAAGAAGGAGGACATACAGGTAGTTTTGGAGAGTTCTCTCTTAGCCAAACTGAATTTCTATGTCAGCCTCAGACTATGAGCCCCACTTTGGCATAGGAAAATGCAGAAAGGCAAGACCTAGTTTTCCCACAGGACAGTTTCTTTTTCCCAGAGTTATCCCACAGTGTTTTTATGAGAGCATTGGAGAATTCTCCTGCTGCAAACAGAATCTGCAAAGGAGAGAGACTGAGTAATCGTAATTTGGACATGACAACACAAGATGGTGTCACTGTTTCAGCAATAATATGGTCCTTAAGCAGAGAACCATCAAGATAATTAGCAGACTAGAGAAATGGCATGCAATGGGATTTGCTCAGCCTTAGAAAGAGATTGTGTAAGGGGAGATATAACTGCCACTGGCAACAGTTTAACAGGTGGATAGAGAAAACAGGAAGCCAGATCCTTCTCACAGTTGCATAGTGACAGGACCAAGAGGCAACCATCACAAGGCAAAACAGAAAATTCTGATTAGGTATCAGAACACCATGTTTCACCATGCCATGGTCAAATACTGCAGCAGGTTGCCACAGGTGGTTACGGAATCTACTTCTGATGTTCCAAATTTGACTGGTTAAGTAGTTGAGCAACCTAATCTGATCCCACCTGCTATGAAGAAAGGCTTTGAGTAGATGACCTCCAGAGGTGTCTTTCAATTTAAATTATTCTGTGATTCTAAAATAAGCCTAGGCATCCACCCACACTGTAGTATAAAATAGTTCCAGCTTAGCTGCTTCTAAAACATGTTCCCATTTTAGGTTCTCTAGTAAAGTAGTTCAGGACTCCCCACTAAAAAGTCTGATCAGTCCACAATTAAAAAAAAAAAAATTATTATTCTTCAAGGCAAAAAGCCCAAATTTCAGTCTTATCAGACACGCAAGCAAAATTTTGGAAAACATTAAAACAGACTTACTGCAATAAAGGAGGCAGGATATTACAGTCCAAAACATAATCTCTGCACATAGTGCTGTCCCCAGCAATGTTGCCAAGAGCCCACACTGCCTGTAAAGAAAAACAAAATAGTAATTGCTTTTATTCTCAAAATTCCACCAGTTTAAAATATGTATTAGAGTTGGGAGATACTCTGTTCTAACTGTTAGATCCTGGACAACATAAGAAGGGCAATGCATTCTGGTTGAATATTACAGTCAAGTTCATTATATGATTCAGGAATATTTATACAGATCTGAGAGGAATACCATAACAGCCAACACGTATATCTCCAAAGACTCTGTAGGCAGACATAGCCTTGCTCTGTCTGCAACATAAGAGATAAGCTCGTCTCCTCAGGCTTAGTAACATTCTGTTCTACACTCCTCCTTGTTCAGAGCTAATTTAAATCCAGATGTTCATACCACAGGTCAAGCAAGTCTGTATCTACCCAAAAATGTTGGTGTGGAACAGCCCATGTTAGTATTTCCTAAAAGCCATAAAAGCATGCATTATTTACACAGTCAGATAAGGATGATGACAACAACTAAGATAAAGATGAGAATCTATATGCAAGATAAACCAATATTCACAATCAAAGAGTTTAGATGAGCATTGACATATATTCTTTAAGATAAAACTATACAAGACAACCACTGTTGCTAATTAAGCCATATGCATGGCAAATTGCAAGGACAGATACTTTCTCCCTTGGGCATCAGTGCTACCATAACACCTCATTTTGAGAAGATCAAAAATATCAGAATTAAAGATGCATGAAATCCATCCTCTGTAACACGATAAGGATAAAATATTCCATTGTTTTTGATTTATACATTTGGGCCAAGTGGCATTTTTGATATCACTGTCCACTAGTATGAGAGCTATAACTAAAAAAAATTACTAGCATTCTATGTGAAATATAAAAGCGATTTTATGAATTCCATGCAAATTGCAGACAATATTTTGTCACACAAGAAAGCATACAAAATTCACATTTGCTATTTACTTCAAGTTAGCAGAAGGCTAAGTCACATCAAATAGATACATGTATCTGCTTATTTGGCATTTGGCTTCATAGATACATGTATCTATACAACCACTGGAAATACTTCCAATTCTGCATAGAGGACAAAAGCAATCTTACTTATGGATAGCAGCTGAATGTCCTCCTCAAATTTCTCTTCAGTTAAAGGCTATGTATTTAGCTGTAGTAAAATGTGTTACAGTGCATAACTTTCTCCAATTGAACATAGGCAAGTTCCTCAAACAAAATAAATGTGTTTTTCCCTACCCCTATAACTATTGGAAATAAACTGCTCCTCTAAAAAAACTGACAGAATAAACCGAATTTGTTACCTAAAGGTAATTCTTGGACAATCCAAAATAAACTTATTTATTCACTTTCAACATGATGTCAATTGATTTACTGCATTAGATTTCTCCTGTAACATGTTTGTAAACAGTGGCAAAGAGATGCTACTTTGAAAAACAGACTTCAACCACTCTGGAGGCCCAAATCCACTAGCAAACCCTGCAGAACTAATACAGCTAAAACCAGATGTATATACAGATGTCAGCTTGCTAGCTGCAAAATAAAAAGACGAGTCCTCTGTACCAGTACTAGTAACAATACCATAGGATCAGAGGTCATTACACTGCAAGTTGTGAAGAGACTAGGAGACTGTTCTGGGGAAGGATTAGTTTGTTTTGTTTCCTACTGTTTTGCAGGCTTCTGCTGTCAGCCACAGCCACAGGCAGGGCACGAGACAATACTGACCTTTGCTGTAAAACAGCACAGACATTATTACTATGCAACATTTCCCCAAAACTGATCCTTGTCATGAAAACTTATTTTTCATTCCAATTCTTACTCTTTCAAACCACTGTGAGAACAGGTTATCTGAAAAATATAACCTTGGGTCTGGCAGCTTCATGGACTCAAGATGCAGAAGACAGCTACCAGAAAAATTTAGCTTAAGAGACATCCTGGAAAACATCACTTGTGTTAGAACTGCAAGGAACCAAACCTGTTGCTCACCGCAATGTTTGCATTTCTGCAGCAGTGAGAAGCCTAAGATTTCAGATGGGTTCTAAAAAAACTTGTGGATCTTCTAAAAACATTTAGGGGTGAAGAAAGTTAGAATCTGCAATAATTTCCCTTCATTGAACAGTGACTGTCTGTGTGAAGATACAGCCTCCCTGTCCGGACACCCTCACACATACTAAAACAAGGAAGCCGCGTTTTACTTGTCTGTGGTCTTTGTTTGGCCATTATAGCAGTGTCTATTTTTAGGGTTGACAACAGTGATAATCACTTAATCCAAGAATCCATTCTGATCCCGAATGACAGGCTAGCTTTGCAACAGCAAGTCTCACATCAAAAAGTCTGACCAGAGAAGTCAAATAGCATCTCTACTGCTTTACCCCTCTTGATTTTTTTTTATGGCAATAAGACTTAGCCAAGTAGTCTGATATCACAGTAAGAGAGGATTGTTGAAAGAAATTCTTGTAATGATAATGACTGACAGGACACTAAGACACAAATAATTGAAATTGAAATGTCTTTAGAAAAATATGCAAGGTTTCCTTCAGCAAGAAAACATCTTTCCTTAAGGAATTACTTTAGCTCTTCAGTTAATTGATGAACCTAAATAATTTAAACTCTCCTCAACAGACATTACCATAAATACAAAGCTCTGTCATGGTTCCCACAGACAACACACAAACAATGGAAGTTTCTTCAGGGTTTGTTTGTTTGAATAATGTTCAGTGATTTCCATCTCTTCTTTTGTGCACTCCTCAATATCCAAATGCTTGCCATAACATTTTGGCTTTGTGCTACACATCCCCTATGTTTTTATCTTCTTTCCTGGATAGTTGCAGGGATATCTAATTCCATTAAATTTCAGAGCTTATTAAATAAAAAAAAAAATTGACTCTAAAAACAAATTCCATTTCAGTACTTTCTAATATCTACATCCAGACCTGAAGATGGTAAGAACCTGTAATTTTAAAATTTGTAGCCTGACTTTTTAACTCACATCTTAGATAGAAAGTTGTGTGTAAACTGAACATGCAAATACACCTGTATAAATTTCCATCTATTGCTAATAATGGAGTAGGGATTGTCGCAGGTCTCCTGTTAAATTTTACTCATTGTTGAACTACAGTGTTTTTTCCTGTGGTGCCAGATGACTTCAGTAGTCAGTAACAGTAAAGTGGAAGTTCTGTAGGGTACTGTTAAACCATATGGTGCCTTCCGTGAGTAATCCATGTGTTTTTTGACAACCCTCCACTTTCTCCTGGATGCCGAAGACTTTCAGCCATTATTTCATCATGCCTTTGGATATTTAAACCAAGTGCTAAACCAACCACCAACAGTGCATGGAGTCTGTGCCTCTCAGTGGTGAAGAACTATTATGAAGTAAGAATCAACACTTTCTCTACATTTGGCTGTTGACACGGAAAATGGATCTAATGCTGGGATGACGATGGTGAAGACCCACTTGCACACAGGTGTGATTTGGTGATCACAAAGAAGGATACCAGAAGGCCATATTCCTAGGAGATGACTCCTACTATGTCCTAACAGAGAAAACACCTTTCTTTCAGTGGCTAGGTGATTATAGTTCCTTATTTCTCTCATTCACCAAACAGAGAAAGTAGCTCATACTCACACCTTGGCTGTTTTTCCTTATTTTGGTTACTAAGACCCAGCTAGTAGGACTGCTGAGGTAAAAGCCAAACAGCACTTGGACACCAGACTTACAGGTCACCTCTGGCAAGCAAACAATGGTTTCCAAAAGGAATAGCAATACAACTAGAAATGGAAAAATACCGAGGGAAAAACACATAGGTTACTTCAGCTGAAAACGCAAACCTCTCCAAAGCAGAACAGGACAGCTGGGGATGCTCGTGCCATCGGCCATCCAGCAGAGCATGATGACACAGATCTGTCACCGTGAGACAATCTCAGTCATCATCGACAGGGAGCACAATGCCTTGCACGGTTTTTGAAGAAAATTCAATGTTCATCACAAGTTGTCATCTGGGTTTTAAATACTGCAGCATGGGCAGTCAGGAAAGAACTGCAGCTAAAACACTGCTGAAGCCAGATCAGCCTTAAGCATGTCTAAAGGCTTTGATGGAGTTCTTCAGTATAAATAATTTCAGGCAAGCATATCAACATTTCTAGTTGTCTTCTGGAAGAAAACAATTGTGATAAGTGGAAGAAGGCCAGGACATATGTCACTGACTAAATCTAAAAATCAGTACACGGAAATGGGGAGAGGTGGGGAGACGTAGCCAAAGTGTTTTTCATAAATAATGTAGATTCTGTGATAAATTCAATTTCACTGACAGGTAAAATGGATGCCAAATGGTTTGACCACTGCTCAAAGAGACAGACCGACACACAATCTGAGAAAGACTGATATACAAAGCAAGCAATGAAAGAGTTTAAGGATGATAGGGTAATTAAATGTCAGCTCAATGGGAAACAGATCTTGTAAGATAAATAATTTCAATACATATCTTATTTATTAAACACAGTTACAGAGATTCCCTCACAGAGTACTATAAAACTGCTGATTTAGAATCTTCACCAGACTGTAAATAGCATACACAAAGGAAAATGTGCCACACATTAGTTTAAAACTGGCTTATAAATATGAAAATACACATGGGAAAATCATGATCAGAAGATAAGGTAAACTGGATTCTGTTCCTGAGCCACTGTTAAGGGAAGTTTCAAATAAAAGACAAAAACAACGGTAAATCTTTAAGACTGACTTACTAGAAGGCAAACACAGTGGATAATAACTAGCCAGTAAATAAAATAAAAATATTAAAAATATTTTTGTTTATGCTATATTACATATTGAAAATTATATTACCACTAACATTTCCTTCTATATTATTGCTATCCCATTTAGAACAAAGAATGACTTACTAAACACAGCCTTCAATATTTCTGTTTCTCTTCATCTTTTGCTATATGACTGTAGGGTTAGCTTCTGGCCCATCTGCCCTGGACATGTAGTTATTTTTTTTGTATTTTCCTGCAATTTTTGTAATTTGTTGCAAAGGTAGCAGGAGTTGCTTGCAAATAATAATCTTCTACTGTGAGACATGATCAGGATGATCATTTTACAGGAGAGAAAATTATGACCAAATATCTTCCAGTTTCAAAAATACAGCTTGAGAAGCCCAGGACCAGATCTGCTCAAAACACAGGCCTAACCATAAAAAAAATGCTGCTGAGTTGTCCTCAACTACTAAACAAAATGGAAATATTTCACATTGAGCATATAAAAGCCACAGAACTAGTATCCACTTACTGAACACTGATAGGAGCAAATCACCCAGCATCAGACATCAAGCAATAGAAACATTTTTCTCACAAACCTATAGTCTCCTTAATTGTAAGAACTTCTTTCCTATTCTCCTTCATACACTATAATGTGTTCCAACTTTAACAAACAGGATCACAGTGTGACAAATAAAAGCCTCCTTTACTACCCATTCATCTGTTACCAGGGCAACAAGCTGTGCATATACTGCATGAGACAAGAGTCATCTGGAAAAATACGATGCAATTGTGTACTAATGCTATCCTGGGATACAGAAGCACAAGAGCTAACTTTTCAGTGCTTAATGCTTTTAATTTTTGTCTTGGATGATATTGTGGTGAAGTGCTTGGGGTTTTTTAAAGCTGTTGGGAAAAAAAGAGAGAATTTCTTTTATGTTGGCCTGTATTAAAGTCAGGTGTGAGCAGGGCTGCAATCCCTAGAGCTGCAGCACAGAAGCCCACTATGAAAAGGTGTAGGTAACACTCTGCAGGGTACACTTTCCTTCTTTAGCACAGCTTACTACAGAGCATTTTTAACTGGTATTTAGAGATTATCAGCAATAGAGAGATCATGGATTTAGCAGCACCTGAACTGCATAGAAGAATATTTTTTGGTAATTACAACCAACCCACTCTGCCTGCCAGCAATCTGAACTTTAACAAGTCAGCAGTTTATTAGGAGGCAAAGGGGGAAGGAGACAGATAAACTACTTAACTGTGGCCCCTAAGCTCTTCTGTTATTTCACCCATCTTAAGACTGAAGGCTGCACAACTTAATGTAACCAGGTTTGCTCTTCCCACCTGCTCTCTGAACATCAGCAACAACCTAATAAAAAAAGCAAGTTAGGTCTTGCACAGAAGACTGACCACTAGGAAAAATAAAAAATAAGAGTAGCCCTTACCATACAATTTGGAAAGTAATGCCACCAAGTTCAAAAAGAAACTCTAAAAGGCATCATATAGCTAAGTATGGATGGATTTTCACATGGGCAGAACATAGCATTTATGTGTCATTTCAGCAAGCTCCCTATCACATTTCTAATTTCTACAACAGCAGCAGATTCATTTACTCAAAGCTAAAAAAATGGACACAAAAATACCCCTTATTTTCTTTAACATTTTCTCAAACAACTGAATTCAATTTCTCCTAAAAAAGCCTTTTCAAAAATAATTTAGCCTGAGACAAAACACTGAAAATGGAAAGTTGCGAAGTGGAAGAACTTGAAAGCTACAAGCAACTGAGGAAAAAAAAAAAAATCTGTCTCATGGAAAAAGTTAGGGAACCTGAAGTACAGGTGGTACATTCTGAGCCAGCTATAAGAAAGAAAGGCGAGTTACACAGAGCAATCCGATGTTTATGAGTCGGGACTCCTCCAGTCATGCATCTCAATACAGCCAAATGCAAGGTCAGACATCCAGGAACAGAGAATAGAGGTCACACTTACAGGATGGAGAACTGAACCCTGGAAGTCAGTGACTCTGAAAAGAACAACGGATCATAGGGGATAATCAGCTTAACCTGAGCTCGCAGCCAGCTTCTGTGGCAAAGAGTCCGCAAAGACATCTTGGGTATTTACACACCAAAGCATCAAGCAGAAATGAAAACGAGGTGCTGTTCCTGCAAACAGCACTGCTGAAAGAGTGCTACTGAAATATCCAGTGCTTGTAATTTCACCACCACAAAAAGATATTGAAATAAAGGAACATTCAGGAAAGGGTCACCAAAAAACAAACCAAACAGCACAGAAATACTCTCATATGAGAATTCAGCACTTAAGTTCATTTGCTCAAGTAAAGCTTAAGCTATGGCCTGCAAGTAGCTATAAGAAAAAACACAGAACTAATTGAGCAGACAAAGAAAAAACAACAAATACCTGGACCCAAATTTGTACAGTAAAGGTACTTATTTTCAATTTGGGATTAAGATTGGCTGAAACTAAATCTGTTAACACCATTAACGTTTCATCACCCTAAGTCTTCAAAGCAAGACTATATGTTTGAAATACATCCTTGTTCAAACACAAGTTATGGACCTAATGTGGAAACTACTGAATCAAATGTTTGGTCTGTGCTTTACACCGACCCCTGTGGGCCTTAAAGAATATCCATCTATGCTGTAATGAACTTAGAGAACAAACTATGATTTTCTTTTTAGAGAACAAACTATAATTTCCACTCATGCTTTATTTTCAGGAGAAACAGGTATGAACTTTCCATCTCTAAAGCAATTATTCAAACAAGGCTCCCTGAATTCCTCAATACACAGAAAAATACTAACCCATTAGAGATTAGAATACTAACCCATTATCCCATCAGCTGTGGTTAAATATATCACTTCTAGAAAGAGGAAAACACAATACTTGCTTAGATATCTTAACACACACTAAGCAGAAAGGAACTGTTGTGCAAAACTGCCAAATACTACATTTTCTCTAAAGGCCTTCTTACAGGATAGCCTTGTTCCTTTCTGGGGAAGGAAAACAAACAAACAAACAAGCAAAACCACAAAAAAACCCCAACAAAACCAACACCCAAACAAACAAAACAAAATCAAACAAAAAATCCCCCAACTCCACAAACCAAAACATACACACACAAAATTCAAAACCGTTTTCAATCTTTACCTGTTCCTGTACATCTTCAAACTCTGAACTAAGCAGCTCTATGAAGATGGGGACAGCTCCTGCTTGGATCACTATTCGAGTCTGAAGGGAATTTCCCGAGGCAATATTTGTCAGCACCCATGCAGCTTCAAACTGGAAAACAAAGTACAAAAGACAGTTTACAAGGAACTTTCTATGCTACACCAAACATGAAGATTAAATGTCTTTTAAAAATAGAAAGAACTGGCTTAGGAAAAATGTGAGATATTATTAACAGACAATTTGCAAAGTAAGATTCAGAATCATAGTGTTAAGAGTTATCGCTATCACTTGAAATAAAAATTGCAGAAGTTCCTTACAAGAACATTGGGTTTGTTGTGGCTTTTCAAACATTTTTTTTGCTATGCATTCATGTTACCTTTGCCTTTCCTTACTGCCTAAGAGCCTATACACAAAAAAAATGTGCTTTCCCACGTGGCATGACACCTGCATTCATTGAATCACCAATGAAATTCCTGAAGATGCACAAAAAGACATTGTTTGAAAAAGCTTGATTGATACGAAGCAAATAAAAGACTCAAAGGAGATTAAAAAAAAAAAGGAGATTTCTAAAACAATTCAAAGTGCTTGTCTCCAACTCTGGTGATCAGTATCACTGCCAAGCGTTATTAAATGCACGATGGCTTTTGTCAAGACTTGAAGCAAAACTGAGATCCTGAATTAACACTTAGCATATTTTAATTGGTTTCTTTATTTATTTTTATTTTAATCTCAACCTGCAAAAGCATTAACTTTTTAAGATGAAATGCAAATTTTAATACTTCCTGACAGAGGCCCGAGAAAACACAGATTCTAGAAATCCAGACTTTGGTAGATTTCTGTATCCTTTTGGTTCAAAAATCAGTACATTACAGTAGCAAATTTAAATCTTATCAGATACATTCAGAATCTACAGAATGAAAAGGTTATGAAAAGCTGAATGAAAAGGCAAACATCAAGAAACAATAGAAATGGAAAGCTGTAAGCTATAAATGACCAATTTTGATATTACTAACTGATACTGATCCGGAAGGATTCCACTAAAAATCCTGTTGTATCTTCCAAAACTACCTATCTCTGAAGAGCAGCAAGGACTTATATTTAGGGTTTAATCATAAAAACACCTCCTGCTAAGGAAATGCACCAAATTTGGAAATAGGCCTGAATAATAACTCAAGAATTAAGCCTAGACTTGTAAGGCTTTTCATTTTTAAGTGTTATTAAAGACTTTAGTTTTGAAAATACAATTAATCATGTCCTCCTGATCAGATACAGGAGAAATTATCTTCTAGTAAGATGTGATCAGAATAAACAATTCCAAAATACATCACTGTAATACACAAAGAGAATGGTCTGGAAAATAAAGTGGAAACACAATGTCAAAACAGCAAGGTCCATCGTTAATGAACTAGAAGCAAAACACTCAGGTCAGAGTTTAAGGCCAGCATAAAATGTACTTGTTTTCCTGTAATTTTACTTTCCCTGAAACGCGTATCCAGTGTATTGAGATAGACTGTAACACAACTATTAGTCATCTCTCAACCACAGAGGCTTCTTACTCATATTTTAGAACTTGCCCTTAGGCTTCCTAATGGAAGCCACCAGCCTGAACTATGCACAGCTTGGAGACTCACACTGTCTCCAGTATAAGTCATGGAAAGGTGAGTGACAGTTCCTCCCTCTCTGTGGACACCTGACTCTCCAGGATGTAGAAACCAAGGAACAAGTCACATGCAAATGGCAAAGGTATCTGTGTAGTATTGCTCTTTTTCAACATTTCTCCCCCTCATCACAACAATATTTTCCACATGAAACAAATGTATTTGTTCATGTATTGTGTAAGTGACCATAGAGAAGAGAGGAGCTTTTTTAAGCCTGGAATTCACCTTGAGTAAAAACAGGACAGAGGAATTCCTAATAAATTAGGCCTTCCTACCACTGATATCAGAAGCCTAGTTTTTACAGGATATTCCATTGACAACAGCAAAGGAAATGGAGCATAAAATCCCATAAACATTCAAGTTCATTAACATGGAAGTTTCCATATTCAATCCACTATACAAGTAGCTATACTTCCTACTTCACTATTTCAGAATGAGTTGAAAGTCCTTTCCTTCTACAGCTGGGCTACAGTCAGGAATGCCTAGAATACCAAGGTCAAAGGAATACTTTTGGAAACAAGACAAACAGTAAAAAGTGAAGACAAGAGGAACTTCCTAACTGATCACAGTAAAAATTCCACATACAGACCCTGAATTGCCAAGCAGGTAGAGAGATTTGGTAAGATGAAGAAAAATTACCCAGGATGAATGAAATATCAAGAGCAACAAATTCACTTATATTTTCGCTACTTTCTTAAAAATTCTTCAAAGGACAAACTTGCAAGTTTCCACTGACTGATTTTTCCTATTTCCATGTAAAAATCAATACAGGTTACACAAATAAGGCCACGAGAACTGCTTCCATTTATTTGCCTGTCTTAGGTTCTATGCTAAACCCCTATAACTGATAAAAATAATTCCTTTTTTTTTTTTACATCAGACAGCTTACAAATTCTCCACTGAATTGCAAACTAACCAGCTTAAGTCTGACACATACTCTTAGTTACTGTCCACAAACTCCTCAAAGGTAGCTAACAGACCTCTGGAATTCTGTGGATATCAATCTGAAAAGTAATACCTATAAAAAATTTCTCTGATGTGTAAGAAAACTATCAATTTTCTGTATATCTCCATCCACAAAATTTGGACTTGGCGTGGCATTAACAAACCTGTTGCCCTATGGATTTTGAAACAAGACTGATTCTAGCATATATGTTGTATTTAATGGTTACATGTTAAATTAATATGTTTTACTAGATGATTTGTTTTTCTTCACTTTCTACTAGCCCAGAACAACTCTGGCCAGGAAAAAGGACAACTGAAAATGAGACAAAGGTCCAAGAAAAATTAACCACCATTGTAGCAGATGCAATTCAGTTTTTCAAACCATAGTCAGTTTTGAAGTTTCTATGTTTATAATTACAGATTGTAATTCTAATTCTAAACTGTTTTTTAAATTAACCAAAAATTTAAGTCATAATTCTAAAGATTTAAAACTGTCTTCAGTTAGTAAAAAAAAAAAAGACAAACATTAAAAGCTCCAAAGCTTTTTAACTGTTGAGTTCCAAATTTCAAGCTCTGTTTTTGTTGAAGGGCACAGATCCCATCCTATCCATCACACAATGCATCTCAGACCTCTCTCTCTCCCATCCTGTCCCCAAAGGTCTTGCCAGAAACTCTGAAGATAAAACAGTATTTTTAATATAGTGAAGAAAGAAGGGTAGTAGAGCTAAACAAATCACTGATTTTTTTTTTTCTAATTTGCATCACCAAATGCCTTCCTAATCTAGGAAGACAAATATATTTATATACCTGTAATGTACAGTTTTCTTTTCGTTTGAGGAACTCCACAAACCTGGCCACCACTCCTTGTGTGCTTATGACTTCATCTATTGGGGGATTTGGTTCTGTTTAAAATAAAAAGTAAAGTTAGATTTCTTTGTAGGGAAGTTCTCAAATTACTGCATCATAGTAATATCCACTAAATACTGACTGCTCTTTTTTGAGAGTGTGTTCTTTTTCTACAATACTTTACTAAAAGGCATCAGATTCCTATCTGTCAACATAAGAAAACTTCAGTCTGAATTTTAAGGTAATGAGGTAACACGATTCAAAACACTAATACACTCAGTAATTTACGCAGATGAACTTCACAGCAGCAGTTCATGTGCAGACAAACCTCAGTATATCAGCATATCTGACCCACAGAGACACTGCCTACAACATTTAAACTTGCATTCAAGAGGAGCTATCACATCTGCAACACTTAAAACAGATTTCAAGACAAGAAGTGACTATATCTAGCTGACAGTTTGTAAAGCAGAGCTTGACCCAGAAATTTCAGTGTGAAATTCAATCCTTATTGCTGTCAAAGTAAAAACATGTACCAGGGAGGCTTCTACATTTTTCTCCACGTAATTTCCTTACCTTTAGAAAGGAGCTTTCGGAACTTCTGGGTGGCTGAAAGCTGCTGTTCTGGACTATTGGAGAAAATCATCTCAATCATATCAGAGGTGATGACTGCACTCTGGGGTTCACATGCAGAAACAGAATGACAGTGATAAGAGAGCAAAAGGGGGGGGAAAAAATCTGGGACTAGTGGTAAACAGGTTATTACATATGTTAAACCAGTATCAAGTTAACCTCTTATTGGGTAAAAACCCAGGTAAGACCATTATAGACAACGAAGGTACATCTACGGAAGCAGCATAATTTCAAGAGCAACATTTCTTTACTGGAAGCCAAAATTCAAATTTTACTCAAGATATGGTAAAAAATTACTCTCCAGAATCGTTTACTGGTATTCTCTCCCCTCCTTTAAAATAAATATAAAATTGTCAGGTTCAACAGAAGGTAGTTTAAATTGGAATTGCAATTACTCTTATGCAAGAACACCACTTTGACTGTGTTATTGTTTAGATTTTTCTAACGTGTAAATTTTGACTTATTCTGTTACACCAAAAAGTACAGGACCTGTCATTTCCAGAAGAGTTGCCAAACCTAATGCTTGTCATCATCATCGAGTAAGAGTATTAAATTTTCCATAATACTAATGGTTTCCAATAATATGGCTAATTAAATCAGCAACCTTTCTTATGCAAGGTAAGATATGACACTCTGTTTACCACACATGTATTTAAAGAAGTATAAGAAAAGTTAGATTTTTTTTCCCACTTCTAATCTAAATCTGATCCCAACCTTTAGACAGGGACATAGATGACAGTGCTGAAAATACTTAAGCTTTGTCTGTAACAGCTAACTGCTCTAACTATTAATGGCCTGAAACTAATGATATTTAACAATGCAAACTGTATAATGATAATATCTCAGTTAAGCAGAATCCTTTCCTAACTATCTATGCAAGCTTCCACACAAACAATTAATGGTATTTAGGATTTGTCTGATATTTTAAGACAAACTCTTGAAGAGTAAAACTATACATTCTATTAATGAACTTCCACATTGTTTATAAGCACTTCTCTGTTCCTCAGTAATTTTCAAGGCACATATAACCACCAACAGAATACAAACCTCAGCCTGATTTCTATGAAAATACCACTTGTGTAGTCTCAGTATAGACAGTGTGAAGATCAGTGGTCAACCTTTTAAGTGAGGACTGTACTTTCCTCAAACCTCTCTTACAGTCTGAAAACTTTACCATTTGTCTTTTCAGGAAGACAACAGTGGTAAAGAAACGAAGAGAGAGCTTTTTTTTCTAGCTTGTAAAGGAGTTTACGGCCTTGTGCAGACAGATAAGTTATATCTAGCTGTATTTCCAATACCCTGGCTAAAAGTGGTGCCACTTGAATGTCTGTTAAAGATTTCCATTGATCTCGTTTTAAATTTTGTAAACTGCAATAACACACTGCCTGATTTGCATGTTCATGTTTCAAGTATTATAAATTTCAGATTAAAAAGAAACCAAGAACTTTGGGCAACAGTTGACAAAATCACCCATAATGGTGACCATCAGAACCAGGCAGTAATCAGCCTGCCAGGACAACGATGTTTTATTTAATTTTCTTGAGCACACATCCTCTGAACAACCACTCACTATACCCATAACATTTTTCTCTCATGTAATCTGTTTCAGGGTAGTTCACTGAGACAGATGTTTCAGAGCTGTCCATAAGCTCTTTGAATGCATTTTTCACATTCTTCTGGAATTCCATTCCCCTCAAGTCACTGCACAGCAGACCTGCCCAGTTTCAACAAAAAACGACTGTATTCCTTTCTCATCACTCACAGAAGTCATCTCCATGTTGTTCATCTGAGCCTCGTGGAAGCCACCATCTGACATTACTTCCTCCTCTGCTTCTTCCTCAGCTGTTGCAACATTTCGGCGTTTAAACAACTAAAGAGAAAAAGTGTTTCATATTTATTATACAGCCAATACATACACAGCACGTCACCTTAGGCTGCAATAAAAATTCCACATGCTACTACATGAAAGAAGCTTATATGCTGGCTACAGGACTACACCTGACAGTACATGGAGAAAGTTTAGCCATGGAGTAAATGAAAAAACCAAGGCTAAAAGATTGGTTCCTAACATTTCTGAAAAACTTTCACTGATGTTCCCTTCTCTTCTTCACCATCCACCTCTACCTACAAGCACCTCCAGCTTCCAGACAATTGCTTTCTTGTAGAAGTTCTGGGGCTCAAAGACCTGATAAACTGGTCTGTACTACAGATCTTCATAGAACACCTGCACACTGGGATGAGCAGAATTTGGTTGCTATGACTTAGAGAAGGTCCCCAGTTAAGAGATGTCATGAGGAGAGCTAGAGAGGCTACAGCTTCTCTCCTTAATCCAGCTGTCTCATTGGAAGAAACATTAGCTGTAAGAAGATGGCTTTGAGGGTGCTGTTGAGCACAGGAAGGAAGACTCCAGCATTAAGCCATGTCAGATTTGCACCACTGCAGACAGGGAAAGCAGAGCCCTAACACAGACCTACCGCTAGTCTTTTTTCTAGAGAAGACAGGGAGGACACTGTATGCAAAACTGCTAAGTGTACAGAACTCCAGGTCAGTGATAGGCATTCCTATGGAATGCTTTTCCTACTAAACTACTGTATGATGTGCCCACTTAAGCCAAAAATATAATCTTAAACCAAAATTTATACATTGTCAAGTTATAAGAAAATTCAGAGGCCTGAGGTTGTTTTTGTGATGTTGTTCAGCTAAAAAAACAGAAAAAAACCCAAGAAACCCCACCAAACAAAAAAAATAATTGAAACTTCAAGACAACAACCTGAGAAGAAGCAGGTCAACAAATTATTTCTTCCCTCAAGAAAACCATTACTGCAACTTCTAAGGACTTGGTCGTATCTTTTCATCCTTCTATTCTAGTTGTAATGTTTCCTTCCATTTCACCTCAGCTTACCACTCTTTGAACAGATTAGAGACACCACGACTCAGAGGAAAATAAATAAACAAAGAACAAAATAGGAGTTCCTCGATCACCTTCAGTGCAAGGTCAGTCAGTTCTGTGAAATCTTTAGGCTGCTCTGGCCAACGTTGCACTTGAGTGAATGAGGAGCAGTCACTCTGAGTCTCGTGGAGCCTGCAGAAGAGGCAGTGAAGTCTGCAAGCGATTCTGATTTCAGACTGACTGCCTATGAACTTTGAGGGCAGGAACAACTAAGAAAGGGTTTGGGAGAAGCAAAAGCCAAAGACAATGCAAGACAAGACTGTTTCAGGACTGGTCCCAGTTCCCATAACTCCCATGCATTACCTGCTCTTCCCTCTTTTGCTTCCGCAGCTGAAGACCCTCTTCCTCCCGCCTGCGACGCATCTCGTCAGGGTTCAGAGATTTGTTCTTGTAGCTCTTCAGTCGGAAATTCTCTTTTCCTGAGGTCGTCATGATTCCTTCACAACACAAATAAAAACAGAAGACAGAAAAAAATTACTCTTCAACACATCATTTCATATTCTGTCTCCACTCCTTAAAATCTGTAGCCATGAATTTCCAGCCACTGCCTCCCTATATCCCATCACCTAACTTCCAACAATTTAGAAGGTGTAAAGGAAAATTTCACAGAATTTTCACTTTGGTGTGCCAGTTCTTCACATCAGTCGAACAAACTTATATTTTATTCTCTGAGGCTGCAGAGACTAAGTGAAATATTTTATTAAGAAAGAATTGAGGTCTATAAGGCAAAGTATATAGCCTGGGCTAAAAAGAAAACTGCACCACTGATTTTTAGCATTTCTCCACACAGAGAATTAGCCAAACCACTCACATAGCCCTGTCTTCACTCAGAAGTAAAGGTGTCTTAGGTGCTTTTTAGTTTGATTTACTTTGCAAGTCAGTAGAGGGGCTTTTTTTTGAACTTCGAATACACACTTTAAGTAAATTTAACAAAACCCTGTTGAAGAAACCCTGTGTTCTTTCTATCCAGACAAGGTCTACAAGGAAATGGAAATGAAAAATTTTAGATGAGGATGGTTTAACCACTGAAAATGCTCTGTTCTGCAAAGAAAGCAGTGCTATTGTTCCCCTCCTCCCCACCCCCAGTCTCTAATCCTGTCACTGTTTATGTAGAGGGGCCTTTTTTCAGTCCATGCTTTCCAAGTACCATCTGTCTTACGTAACTCAGTGGATCAGCATTTTTAACTACCCATGAAAATTTTCACATGTACACCACCACACTTTGGAGTTACTTAGCATAAAACAGCAGGTATAATACTGTGTGGAAGGAACACATCTGCCCAAAATCAATGGGCTTTGGATCAAGCCTCTACTCTCAGTGCTCCATTCTGCTGCTACTCCTCTCCTTACATCACCCCCTTAAATCCAAAAGGGGTTGGGAATCCAATTCTCAGCATGTCAGGATTTCCATGCATCTTCATAGAGATGCACGATCTTCAATACATTGTAACTATCTGTGACACAAAATTTAGGGAGCTACACTATACATAAAGTTACCCTACAAGGCTTTAAAGCTCTCTTTCAAATGCCCTAACTCATCATATAAAATACACTACCTATCTCAAATTCCATAAGCCCAGCATCACCAGATGATAAATGACCTCCTGGGCACTTTTTACTTTAAAATGGAGCAATATGAATGTATACAGACTCTCAACAGCTAAGATTTCCTACTAAAAATACATCAAATCAAGTCTGCTCTAACCTCCTTTCAGTTAGCACAAAGAATTTTAAGAGAATAAAAAATAAAGAGGATACTCAAACGTGCTTCTTGTTAGAGCCTCTTTTTAAGTTGTTGCTATCTGACAATCAATTTGAAGAATTCTGACGATCAGAACTTACTTTAACAGAAAACATTTTGGGCATCACTTCAAGAGTCATTGTATTCTGACAACTGAAATTTAAAAAACTGTTCAGGAACACAAACTACCATATTGATTATCAGTCAGTCACAATTTGCACCAAATGCAACATAAAAACCTGAGCATACAGGTAGGTAATTCAGCAGCCTAATTTTGCTGGAAAGGCTGTTCTGGAAATTACTTTTTTTTTTTTTAATAAAGGTATTACAAAAAGATAAATCTCAGAATGACAGAAGTTCCCTACATCATTCTTAACACCTTTGAGACTCCCTTCTCTTCCTGTGTTTACATGTTTGTGCTTTAAGTATTTGTGTTTCTTACAGTATGCTTGGCAACTGCATTTTCTTCCCATTTTTAGTTCAAGTGACTACTACCTTTATATTAAATTTACATACTATCTGAAGAAGCCCTGAATTTTAACTGTAAAAAGAAGTTCAGGCTAATAAGTACTCAGAATTTCTTTTGTTCCTAAAATATTTTGAATAAAACATGTGGTGTATTTTAGAATTAGCAAGATGAACTGAAACACCAGATGGACAACCATGAGCTAAAAGGACATGCCAAACAGAAAAATGGCTTTGCAGACACTCCAGTCATTCTGCCCCTGAACATGAACAAACAGGGGCACGTGCCACATTCCAAACAAGATCTCAGGCCCTCCACAACGTTATTAATAATTCCCCACTTTTGCCTGAAACCTGTCTTCTCAAACTCACAAGATTGTATTTGCCTTTATTTGGGATTTCAGGACTTTGATAAATTCCTGTGGTCCTCTCACACCTTCACTTTCAACCCCTACAAGTTCTTAATCTCAGTAAATCCTTGACAGGGAACATCTTCACTCCTTAATACTGAAATTCATCTAATTTCTATTATGTAGCCTCTCCATATAATGTTCTACTGTTTCAAAATTTCAATGACAGTACCAACTTCATCATAAATAAGTTTCTTTAGTGTATTCTTCCTTACTGTATTTTTTTAACTAGTTTCCCCTCGTCTCCCAACTTGCATATTAATTTTCTTCTGATTAATTTTGCTTCTGACTTTAAGGTAATAATTTCCATTTTCCTTTCAGAGTTCTATTAGCTCACTCCTGCTGTACCTTATGTCATTGTTTCATTTCTTGAAAACACAGACACAGGATTTACTTGAATTCTCTCTCTGATTTTATCTCAACCCCTCTACCCAACAGTTTCACAAGAATTATCTTCTACTTCTTACACCCTTTACAAGCTCTAGCCACAACTTTTGGCTATGCTCATTTCTGACTTTCAAGACAGCTCATTTTGCTGACCAACCCCTTCCTCTATCCTCTGAGTAAACTGCACACTTAAAATCCTTTCAAAATAGTATATTGTGTTTTACCTGGGAGTACAAATGCCTGCCACCAAATGACTGGGAAGAGTTTCTTTTATTAAAGGTGAAAAAATTAAACTCCCTCCACCACTGAGAAGTTACCACTTCAACTAGCAATTAGTTCAATAATTTATTTTATAGCAGGCCCTCACTGGCAGTAAATAAGCAAAATCCCAGCACATAGCCACAAATCCATTTTACATACCTGCCAATCTAACCTGTATAACTATTAAAGCCATAGTTATTTTCTAAAAGTAGCTTTTATGTCCTGGATAGATCTTAAAATCAATTATTTCTTCACCATTCTTTTACTGGTTTCCTGACTACTGATGAAAACTTCAATGACCCCATCAGGGATTCCATCTAGCCCACACATGCTGCTAACATCTTCAGACCTACTCAAGTGTGTGAGCACACAATGGCTTTTCAGGACTGAAAATACAACAATTCTATGTTAGTTGTTACAGTCATCCAAGGATTGTTTGCTATAAATCTCCTCCTCTATTTTTCAGGATGCAGCCTTTCCCCCACACTAAGCAAGAGAAGCAAACCAACTTCAAATTGGCCTCCAGCAGCTTTGTTGTGACTTAGCTGAAAATCTTTCAGTGGTCACTAAGTTCACCCATGTAGCAAATAGCAAACCCTGGATTTTCTCTGCATTGTCAAAATTAATGCTACTTCTGGTGAAAATCTGTGGTGGTTGTCATGGAAATGTTCTACACATCTTTTCTTTCCTAAAGATAGCACAGTATTGTCCACATTTTTTATACTCCTGGCTACAGATAAAAACCTCTGGAGACCTGGTAAGGAACTTCCATGGTGTATTTTCAGGCTTTTGTACAATACCACTCAAACTCCATATGACACTTTCTCCTCCTCAGTTTGGCTACCATTAAAAAAAAAAAAATTTAGTAAAATTAAACTGTCTATTCCTGAATGTTTGCATTTCTCTAAGGAAAATATGATCCCAATTTTTTTGCTGATTAAGACAAGAACCCTACCAAATGTCAATGTGTTACAAGCACACACTTCTAGGGGAAATAAAAAGTACTGCATTTCTCCTTGCTCATCAAGTAGAAGAAATTCAGAAGCACTGGGAAATACAGAGTCACTTACTGCCATGACCTACCTTGTCCCAAGCAATCATCTATATAGGAACAAAAATGAACTCCCTGCCTTCTTAAATCAGATATCACTGTCACTAGACTTAAGAGCTTTGCCAGAAGGAATGCCATGTGACTAATACTCTTGGATATTCCACACGTCAGAGGTACCGAGATGTAAAAATAAAGCCCTTACAAATCAAGACCTGTGTAATAGTATATATAACCACGTACATTTTTATATGTAAGGGTATACATATACACCATGTATACAGAGCTGAAACCAAGATTATGAAATACACTGTTGATATTAAAGACTGCTGGAGACAAACTTTCCTTCTTTGGAAGTAGGAGTGGGAAAAGTAAACCTATATAAGACATTCTACCTTCTAATAGGAGTATAATGGAAGCAGAAGACTTGAAACTTAAGGCAGAGAAGGAGGCTGAAGACAAACAGTGTGGAAAAAAAAGTATCTGAACATCCATGATCTTCCATAATATCAGTGTACATTTCCTAACTAACAGAGCAGCTGACAAAAGGAAAGGACTCACTGGAGGCAGACTTGTGAGCTCTGGTGTGCTGTCAAACTGCTGTCTCTCCTTTTGATTCCTGCCACAGAGAGAGGGAAACAACCCTGAAAGGACAAACCATGCTGGAAATGGCACTGTCAGGACGGAACTCCAAGCAGTGAGAGAAGCTGGAATCACTCAAGGTAATCAATGCACAAACACCTTTACTTCCAAGGAGATTTTAGCTTGTGCATGGGCTCTGCCATGGGACTCTACACTTCCTAGAGAAGTTACATCACAATCGTGCTTCTTGACATAATGCCAAATACCTACAGCACAGCCTGGACAGATGTTTGAGCAATTCACTGAGGTGTGATTACAGGATGCATCACCCTCTGACACTCTTTAGTGTTAGACTAGAAAACCTATCCAATTTAAAGAAACTAACTTGAAGGTAGCACTTGATCATTCTTTGCTCTCATCAACACACTCTACAAATTCAACATTCTGGCCACAAGTGTGTTTTTTCCCATGAAGCACAGATTTTAGAAAGTCCTTCTAATTTGCTTTTTAGCAATTCAAAGGCAACAGATCAGAATGCTAACA